TTTTAATGCTATTTATTTATTTATTTATCTACTGGCTGCACATGTCTTTGAATTTGAGTCATGACTATAAACCTGTTGGTGCATCTTCTATCTTCTCGTTAGGTTTTGAATAATTTTGAAGACATCATCAGGAATATAATATTGTGAACATAATATTGTCGTGTGGATTAATGTTCTGATTAGTTGTGTCTGAATAAGACAGAATGTCCTCTATACAGCTCAGTACACTGGCTTTGTGAGGATAAAATGCCCTCCCTCTCCTGCTTTTGTCCATGGCAACACAGTAATCCTTGGTCAAAGTGACCCACTGTTTGTGTAGGAGACAAAGAACCTTTCTAAGGTGGCTGTAGATGGCAAAGTATTAACAAAGTGGCAGGGCTGATCCTAAAAGCTCAGTGGACTGTGCCACGATGCCACTTCTCTTTAACCAAACCCTCGAGGTACACGATACAGCTGAGTGGGCAATTGAACTCTCTGTGCCTGTCCAGATGTTGGCCTAATTTACTACGACTAGCAGCGTATGTGGCCCATTTACATGTCCTCACACCCAGTGTGTGTGTCTGCATGTGCACAATGTCAGCCTCTGCCTCAGGTGCTCCGACATTCACCCCACTGACGGCCCATAATTCACTTTGTTTTTTAGGGAAAGCAGTGTGTGGTTTGCTGACCTCAGGATCAACTTCCTCACACCGCTTTATCAATGTTTCAGAGCATTTTGATGAGTTCAGTTAAGATATTAAACACCAGCATGTTCTCTATCCTGAAGAAAAACTTTAGCATTTTGTGTCGTCCCAATGCACAGCTTTTCATTCATCTGGGAAGACGACACGTGAATGTTCAGGTGATTTTGGTGGAATATTGGTTTCCCTTGTGATCCAGGACAAATGACTGCAACTCTTGTTAAAACGTTGGTTGAAAACAAGAGATCTGCTTTTAGTGGGAAAAAAAACAACAACCCATAGGTAATTATCACCTGACTCTGCAGTTTCCACCATGTCTACTGAGTGCTTCCATGTGTTTCACTCACTGTTTTGTTTTTTTTACAGCTTCACTGTTGTGGTTCATTGTCAGCACTCTCATCAGCATCCTCTTCAAAACTACCGGCGCAACACCAAACACACAACAATTGTGACTAGCCCATGAAACAGTGGAGCCTTTCACAGCTGAAGAGTCAAGTGTTGTACCCAGAAGTCGGTGGAGAACAAAGCAGAGCTCAAAGAGACTGAATATCGGACTGAAATTCATCAGGAGGCCAGAAACTCCAAACTAACGACGGTGCTGCCTTACATCAAATTAAAAGGTGAAGATATGTTTTGTATAATTTTGTAGTGTCAGATTCAACATGGCACAACATGTGCTAGCAACACTTTGGTGCTTCTGTTTTAACCAGTTCTCTTTAAAAGGGCAGAGCCGTTACAGTTTCTTGTGATCTTGCAGACGTCACTCAGGCGCTGCCTCATTAGAGCTGATTAGCACTAGTTACAGTCTGTGGCATTGAAAGAAAAGGCAAGCTGAGGGCACATGTGCTGGTTGGCCTGCTGGCATCGCTGCCACATTCTGTGGCGTCAAGCCAGTTTTAGAGACCTCTGCAGCTGGCAGCAGCCAGATGTGGCATGTTTGAAGTTGGAGACAGATGAGAGCAGCAGTCCTGTGCATCTTCAGAAGTGAGGATGAATGTGTGCCAGGTGCTCTATCCACAAAAGTGAGTACACACACATTTCTGCAAATATTCTATTATGTCTTTTCATGGGAGAACACTGAGGAAATGACACTTTGCTGCAGTGTAAAGTAGTCAGTGTACAGCTTGTATAACAGTGTAAATTTACTGTCCCCTCAAAATAACTCAACACACAGCCATTAATGTCTAAACTGCTGGCAACAAAAGTGAGTACACCCTTAAGGGAAACTTCTCACATACTCCATCCATGGTGATTTTATGTATCCACTTTCCTTTTTATGATGCTTATTATGTAGGTGAACATTTGTCAGTTACACATCTGACAAGCTTCTCTTTTCTCAGTCTGTGATTATAACTCCCTGAACAGCGACTATGATCTAAGATCAGGGTTGAAGTAATGGAAAATGACAGTAATCCCCCATCCATCCTGATTTAAATTTGTTCTGTCCTTAATGAGACTTGCTCTGCATGCACGCGATGACACGGAGCCTATTAAGGGAATTATTAGCACTGATAGAGTGAAAAAGATAAACACCTCACTTCCTGCAGAGATGATTGAAGAGATACACTCCACTAGATATCTATTCACTTTTACTGTCACACTTTCAGAAAAAAAAAGAAGAAAAGACAACAGCATCAATTCAAGAGTGCCAGACAGGGCAAGCTTTATTTAACACAGCAATAAACAGAAAACAAAAAAGGAAGAAAAAAAAAAAAAAAGAGTCCATTTTCCAAAATAGATTTTAAACAAATGTACATGTTGATCAAACAAACAAAAAAAAGGCAAATATAGCTACCAAATAAATATTCACATCAGCAACAATATTTCATGTGACATCCTTGGAGATGCCTCACAATGAATATAAAACAAGAGACGGTATGTACAATCATACAACTTTAATAGGACATGCTTAGGAGTTTGACTGCACCATTTTTACCACACACCGACTACAACACAAAGGCTGCATATTAACTGACATGGTCACTGAGCCGCCCATGTAGCCCACCTTCAGAAGGCCTGACATCAGCTCCCTTAACCCAAAGAAAAAAAAACAAAAAAAGGTTTTTGTGTTTTTTTCTTCCCCAACAAGCTCGGCAATAAATGCATAACTGATGCTGCAATAATGGATGTGGAGATGTCTGCTTGTGAGCCGACCCTATCTGTCCACACAACCAACCCAAGAGCCCGTCTCTGTGTTTTCTGCGCTGAATTGTTGCTAGGCAATGCTGAGGAATTTGGTGTGTGACCATGAACTGGAAACCTTTGTGCAAATCACCACTTTAAGTTCCTCTAACTATCAGGGGCAGTCCACAGCTCCGTAAAGACACACAACAGCCATTTTCAGGAAGATATCTCCAAAAACAACACGAGGACTCACATCATGCGATTTAAATACACACAAAATTAAAAACACACACACACACAAAAAAGAAGAATGGAAAAATAGCTTTCTTTGGACAGGGCCAGCCTGTGCATTTTTGATTTCTTGTTCTCCCTATAGTCCCACATTATTTTATGTTTCCCTCCCCCCCACACACTAGCCCTTAATTAATAATTTTTTAAGACTTTTGAAGTATATTTCCAATTTTAAAAGCATGTCATTGTCAACTAACTCAAGCAATTCAGTCGCTTTACTGCCTCAGTACTTTTTATTACAATTATGCAGAATTGACAGCGAAGTCCAGCATCTCCAGTTTATTCACACACTCTGATCTATTTCACAGCACAACACCGTCATTGGTTATTCTATATACCGGTGGCTACTTACACGGAGGAGGGGCGGCAAACACAGATCAGCAGCCGTTTTTGTACAGCAGAGATGGTTTCAGTCTATAACATGTCGGTCCATGGAGCACTTATGACAGTAATCACAAAGCTGCGTCTTTATTGCCACACAGGTTACCTTGCATCACAAGCACTTAAATCATTATTGCTTTATGGTTAGAAGCACAGAGATCAATGCTGCACACACACATAACCATGAAGCCAACGATTTAAGCTCAGAGAAGTATCCAATTTTTTTGCTCCGTAGTAATCGTAACCTACAGTATGTGCTGCTTATTGGAGGTCAATAGATAAACAAGTGTGTGCAAAACAAAAATTCAGAGTCACCTTGGAAGAATAGAGTCAGGATCGGGAGTGCTACATTGGATCGATGCGAATATGAGAAATCCACAGGCATATTACAGTAATTACAGTATTCAAAAAATCTCAATGACTTCCGGGAACGTGATATGAAAGGCATTTTTCAAAACTGCATACCATTGGAGAATTGTTGAGAAACTGTCAACAATGCAATGCTACAAATCTTTTCCAAAGAATATTTGCAAATACAAACCAGATTTTCACATTACCAGTCAGTCTGACTTAGGTAGGAGGAATCTTATGCTTTTCAGTATGCCTCCTAACACGCTGACTGGCTTCAATAACCAGCCACAGCTTCATAAATAAAACTCAACAGCTCGACGTTGAACTATTTGTGTTTATGCTCCTGGTCACAACAAAGGCATCTTTTCCCATCTGTTAAAATGTGTCTGTCTCATCACCAGAGACGAGACTCCAGCAGTGACAGCAGAGACACTGGAAGCCCAGATAAACTTCCCTTTATATTTTGTGTTCTCATTTCTGCAGCCATTTTTCTGCGGTCATTTTGCATACACAGAGCCTCCTCCACTCAGTCCGCCGAAGGCCTGCGGAGCAGCGCTGTCCAGAGCTACACAACCATGCAACAACAATCCATGCAGGTTGATATAGTCTAGACTGCTGTCTGCACAGCAGCCTGTGCTCGCGCCTCTTATCCCTGCTCTCATCACCGCTGAGACAATAAGAACAGCTCTCTATGTAATAGCTCTCACTGTGGTTTGTCCCACTGCTCGCTGTACATCGCTGTACTTTCACTAAATGGGGAAACCAGTGACACGCTATTTCACACCTCACACACCTTACTGGGAGGGATGTACAGGATTTTGCTAATTCCTGATGGTTTCATGCTAGATTTGTTTTTGTACTTAGAAAAATATCCATTGAATTGTCAGAGAGGCATTTACATCACAAGATTAAACTTTACACGTTGCACATTTCCATTTTGGACTAAATCAACATGTGCCTATAGATAGTAAAATCAGACAGATGTAACACCATTGTAGTTGCATACTGTTTACAGGTGAGAAAATGATAGCTCGATGATCAGACCTCGACTGATATTGTTTGTTCAAAAGCAAGATAAACAGTGGAAAAAGATGGATGTGCGCTAAAAGGTTCAGGAGCAAGTGGACAGCGAGGTGTCCACCTCTTCTGAGGGGTGTTTGGTTTCTGGGGGGGTGAGGGAAGGATTCAGCAGGTAAACCTGATAAAACCATCGTGCCCACCCCCCCTTCCCCGAGACCAAAGAGGCAGGGGCTGGGGGTCGCATGTGAGGACTGTAACCAAAGAGGTTTCCACTCACATGACCGAGCAGCTCTTGGCCTTCTCCTTCTTAAAGGTGGAGGAGAGCAAGTCTGACTTGCTGGGCAGGTGCAGGAGTCTTTTGGAGAGGCGGCGGGTGGGGCTGGGCTTTGGGAGAGGCTGCAGCTTGTTGATGCAGGCCATTGCTGCGGTGCGGAAAACACTGTGGATGCTTTTCTCCGAGGTGAATGCTGAGCACTCTAGGTAAGCCTCTGCACCCAGCTGCTTGGCCATAGCAGCACCCTGCAATAAAATGAGTGATTAAGGCCGCTGTTCATAAAATCCTTCACAAAATTTCACTTTTTTAAACAATTTTTTTTTCTCATGTAGACTGGAGCCTATGAGGGGCTGCAAGCTCATAAAGAGGCTGTGAAATGAAATGAGGCAGCATGTCTCATTGACTCTTCAAGGTTACAAATTATGTGCTTGACTCTAATTCCCCACATTTGGATATACTTGAGAATGTCAGTGACATGTACAGTATAATTTTTTACACGGAGTGCAGCCCATAAAAATAAGCAACAAAATGATTTCTAAGAAGAAAAACTGTAGCTATTTTACCCATTTCATTATATTCGAAAATCACATTTTTTTACTATTTCTAATTCAAAACTGACTGTATTTCTGGAAAACAACATGCATTTCTTTAGTCTCACCTGCTCATAGGTGATGGGAGTCTGTTTCTGATTGGACAGCTCCATCAGTGTGCAGACATCTGTGCGGAGGTCGGTCTTGCAGCCAACAAGCAGGATACGTGTACTCGGACAGAAGTCCAGGATTTCAGTTTTCCACTGTTGAAGACAAGTAAATATATATATATATATGTAAGTAGGTATACAGTATATTGTCCAGTGCTAATCGGCGCACGTCCATGTAAGGAATCCAACTGGATTAAAGAAAACTGTAAAAGTCATTACCTTCTTCAGACTGCTGTCCACAGTGTCGGGGCGGCTGATGTCAAAACACAGCAAAACTGCATCTGAGTCACTGTAGCACAGAGGCCTCACGTTGTCATAGTACGGAGAACCTTACAGGAAAGAGAAGAGAACATCGTTATTGTGGATTTAAAAAAAAAAACAAAAAAAAACAAGACAAACTTTGAATATGTACACAGACATCTTTGGTTTCAAACACTTCCATGTGCTGTCACACTTCTCCCAGAAGGTTTACAGGTTTTTCTTAGAACAAGGTTTTAATATGTTGGGGTTATTCAGGGAAATGTTCTGTGAATTGAGCTGATTTGTGTGACAGAAGAGGTCTCTTGCATAGCCACTGTTGTGAAACATCAGCAAAGGTCCTTAATATTTTCCTCGTATTCAGTGTGAAATGGAAACACACTTGTAATTTTTTAAAGTTAAAGGGGTTTTTAAAGGGTTTTGGGGTAAATATTCTACTTTTGAAACGTGTATTTTTTGTACCACATAAGGTTAATTTTCATATAAAAAGACACATTTGTACAAATATGTAAAAGTTCACGTGCTGAGCCAAAAATTAATGAATCAAACGTTGTTTCAGGAATCAATTGCTGTGACAACAGGTAGTTGGTCAAGAAAAGAAAAGTGTGATCGAGCAGCAGAGGCAGATAATACAGCTGCAGGGATTATGTGGAATTGGCATCACTTCCTCCTGCTGAGCTTCACTTTGCTGTTCCTGAAACTGCTATTTTCCCTGCTCCTACATCCTTTGCTGGCATTTCAGAGGCAGGGAAGATGACAATCGAGCACTAAATCCTCATTGATCTTCTCTTGCAGTAGATTACGCAAGTGGAACGGTAGGGCTCGGGGCAGGCAGACGTTCCCACTCATGCTTAGAATCCTTAAGTAAGCCACCCACCCCCCCAAAAAATCCTCTGCTCGCCGAGCAATACCTCCAGTCCCTCTGTTACCACAGCAACAGCCTTGGAATCCACCGTCGACATCAGGCATTCCTCCCACCTCTCTATGAAGGCTCGCCTTAACTGCCAATCAATCATTTTACACCACAAACTGCCACCCATGTTGGGGACATTCCTCCGCCAGAGTTGGGGACCGCAAACACACCAAAAACACACATTCACACATGCCAACGTCACACCTGATAACACACAGACTCACTATTTAAATTTGGCTTCAGCCAGAGGTGAAGCCAATCTGCTATCAGATGAAACAGAAGAGGGGCCGCTCGGTGGGATTAACATGTTTACTCTAGTCTCTGTGCGAATCCCAAAAGGGATTCAGTGTTCTTCTTATAGCTACAGATAACAAAAGCAGTCTGTGTAATCGCTCATTACACAACCATCCTAATTGATTTACGGCGTAGAAAACAATGCATGAGCGGAAAACATATGAAACGGCACACATAGCATGGACGTGTGCATATAGATCAGTTTCATGAATACTTAATGGTTTTCCACATTATCAAAGGGTAAAACTGAATTTGCCAGCTGCCGGGTGCTGTGAGTAGAATAATGACAAGCTGTGATGAAATTCCTCAGGACTCAATGTCCTGAAGAAAGTAAACATTGCTGTAAAAGAACAAAGGGACACGCTTGTAGTATTAGAACTCTGTTTCTATGCCTTTAGAAATACATTTAAAAAAGAAGCTTTGTTCTCCTCCTAAGTAGAAATTAACTGAAACGTTTTGATTAAAGTAAACGTTTTACTACGAATGTATTTTAACAAAGGAAACCACTGTGAGAATGGTCCTTAATAGCGTTTACTCCCAGGGCTACAGTCATGCAACATGGTGTTTGCTGAGTGTGAAAATTGACACACATTTAAGTCGGTACAATTAGCACCGCTGGGATGAAGAGTCTCTGAGGTATCTCACGGGAGAATCAGAGGCAGGCTGCTCTGGAAATATTCTCAATGTCCTGCAGGAGGTTATCACACCGCCAGCACCCAGGGTGTGATTCTGCATTAAATGCTCACTGATAGAAATGCAGCAATCAATACAAAGCTGCACCGGCCTCCAAGAGTCTTTGCAATTAGAGCTCACAAATTGGTCAACCTGCCAAGATGGAAGGGAGATAAATTGATTTTATCTTCTGTTTTGGACAATAGATGCATATATTTATCTCATATTCTCATAAAAAAAAATATATCAGTGTGTAAATATTAGTATTTGAAATGCCTCAGTGTACTATTTGGGTACAGTAGCAGCCTTGGCAGCAGTTTCCCGACACTCTAGGACCCAGTTTCTAATCTTGGAAGAGAAAACAGTTTCTATTGTTGTAAGGAAAACCGGAAGACAGAGAGAAGCAGGAGTGTACCCCACTGAGGCATATCACAAAGAGCCCTCCTATGCTATTAATCCTTCACCCCCTGCAGTCTGATATCACAGGGTACCAGTTTTCTCACTCTCCACTCTCTTCCCAGAGAATGGTTTGGTTGGACAGATCGATGCCCATGCAGCGCTCAAGCCTGGTCCAAATGCTTCCTTCCCCTTCTCTTTCTGATGCCTTTACAACAGATGGGGAGTTTCTGAGGCATGAAACACGGAGAACGAGGCTGCCTAACTGGGAAACGGCAGGAAGAGAAAAGAGCATAACCAGATTCTTGCGGCTGAGCTCAACTTCATCCGTCTTGATGGTGCGGTGCCCAGAGCTGAGTGTCGACTTGGAAATTGGGCCAGAGTGGAAGTAGGCTTCCCAGGCTGAGACGGCGGGCCTTGTGTCGGAGCGTACAGGTGGGGGAGGGGAGGCTGTTTTTGTGTGTGTGCGTGTGCATGAGTGAGCGTGCGAGCGGTATTTCTGTGCATGTGTGCTAAATCAAGTAAGTGACATAGCCCATTTTCATCATTAGCACTCCTCCTCTCACAATGAGAATGCAGGGGTCAGACAGATTAATGATCCAGTGATGGGATGACTCACAGATTTGGGGATGAGAGCAGCCCTGCCTCTCCACCCACACTCAGCCGACTGGGAGATGTGCCGCTGCTGCAGCTGATAACTATGGACTTCACATCCCAGGCCCGCCACGCCAAAAAAACACTAAACTAACCAACTCCCCCGTCTGAAAAAACCCCCCAAAACAAAACACACACATTGCATTGCGTCACACAGTTGTTCCCTCGTTTCACATCAGCCAGCCACAATCAGTGCTGAAGCTCCCTGCAGGGAGAGAGAGAGAGAGAGAGAGAGTGCTGCTTTGTTCCTGAGCATCCACACATCTGAACTGTTAACAAGCTTTACTTTGACGCTGTCAAAGCTGATGACACTCTAGATTTTGAAGATGAGTCAAACAGCAGAATTTTAAAAGAGATTAAGCTTGATGTGCCTTGACTGCTATTCTGGTCCTGGTAGTAACATTTCGATCCCTCCCCAGGTCATAGTTAGAGGTAAATTAAGTTAAAATGTGACTTCTTGTATAGAAATTTTTTTTCCCAGCTACTTTATTTAAATAATTAATACATTTAAATGCCTCAGATTAATTATAAAAAACCCTCTGCTGGCATTGATTTAACCCCTATCAAGTTATCTCTGTGTACCAAAGTTGCACATTTAGCATTGCTTTGAATGAAAACAATCCCTTCTTACCGTTTGAATGATTTCAACGTAACTCTGTTCATCTCTCTCCAGCCACCCCGAGCTTGAGCACACCAGCTTACCCTTGACTCTCCACAAAGACGGTAATGCTACACCACACCACGCAATGGTAAGTTGTTAATACTAATAGTGATTCAGCCATAAACATTCAAACTAAATCTCAAGAACAATGATGCAGAAAGTTGACGTGATTGGTTCCTTAACTTTGTAAATCTAAAAACATGTTTTTGGCACATGTACTGCAGATTTAAGGTGGACAGCTCAGCCATGGTGTCAAATGATTATTTCAATTATGATGTCTCTATCAGCATTTAAAAAAAAAAAAAAAAAAACACCATTTGGATAAGGTTAAAAAAAAAATTCTTTTTTTTTTTAAACCAGAGGGGGTTTTTACCTGCTGCTAAAACAATTTCTCAATTAAGTGAGCAGTCAATCAATAAGAAGTTAAATACTTTTTGACAATCAGTTTAAGTCATTCATTGGTTCTAGTTGCTCAAGTGTGAGGATTTGCTGGTTTTCTCTGTGTATTATCTTGTGGTTGTTGAGCCACATGAGAACCACAAAAAATAAAACAATAATTGATTGATATATTGATCATAAAAATAATCACCAGTTGTAGCCTTTACACATACTGATCCGTAAAAAATCATTAAAATGACTCCAAGCTGCATGAGTCTATTAACAATGGTTCTCTTTAACAGTTACACAGATTGTTTCACCAGTTAAAATGGATTTTGGGTTAATTCCAAATCGATCTTATTTATACTTTTTCCTAAAATAAATGACTATATGCTCAGCGTTCTCATAAACTCAAAGGCTTTATCAGCAAGATCACTGAACCTGAAATAAATTACTTACTATCACCATAACGAGATCCATTATTCACTATTCAGGAGCTACAGCCGCTGAATGGTGTTCGCCTTCTCCCCTCTTTCTCTCTCTCCCCCCCCCCGCACCTCATGTCCGATCAGATCAGGCTGATTAAAACCGGTGGATTGATTTTCGTCTGTAAATCCATGGCGGAGCTGGGAGAAGGAGCTGGCTGCCATGTGGAGCCGGTGATGAGGTCAGTCCAATCAATGAAGGGGAGCCGGGATAATGAGTGGAGCTGTGGGGCCACGGCGGCACAGCTCCACACAATTAGAGCAAATTACAGTAAAGACGAGAAAACCGTACGGTGCGAGCAACAAATAGTCATGGAGACCGTCATCCATCACCAGGAAGCCTGACAGGAGAGACATCTGATAGAAGAGTCATCTGAGAGGGGAAAGGGGGTCGCACAGGTTCTCCTCTCATTGGAACGAGAGTCTTTAAATCAGACCTGTTGCAAACAACAAGAGGTCCGTCACCATGAACAGCATTAACTTTAGTGGCCAGATTGCTCTACAGGCGACTGGATTTTGCATCAGACTTTGCAGAATGTGCATGTTATTGGTGACATATGCAAATTAGCCACAAAACAATTGGTACAGTTTTAGTTTGAGTTTCCATTGAACGACAAAAGGGGTCAACAGATGGAAGAAGAGAGTTTAACCCTATTCAGGACTTCTGGGGTCTTTTGGACCCCAGGCCATTTGGTTTAGGTGACAGGAATTGTTTTTGTTTTATTTTAAATATAAAAAGAGGGACATTTGTCATCCATTTGGAACCAAAAATACGTCAGTTTATCAGGAAATTTATTTCACATGGTATAAAAGTCTATAATGAATGTCAACAAATATTTTGGACATATTCCTTCTTGGGGTCCAATGAACCCTGAAACACCTTCTATGTATGGCAACATGAAAGTCCTGAATAGGGTTTTTTTTTTAAAAAAGGTTGAGGGCCAGGAGGAAAATGGAAACGGGAAAACAGAAGAGGATGTAGAAGTGAAGGATGAGAAAGAAAGAAAGAAAGAAAGAAAGAAAGAAAGAAAGAAAGAAAGAAAGAAAGAAAGAAAGAAAGAAAGAAGGGTCAGTCAGAAGGGGTGGCCCAGTGGTCCTATTCAGAGTCTTAATCCCCTGCATCATGCTGTTTGAGTGGGTGACCCGTGGCAGCATATGGAGGAGAATGCAGGTCACCAGAGTTTCTGAGCTCCCTTCTATCTGTCTGCTCCAAAAAAACCTTCCTGCTCAACAGGATGTCGCTCTGTGTGCCCATCATCCCTCGGCACCAGGCCCACTCCTGCTGGCCAGACCAAAGGTCCACAGTCTGGGATTAAAAAACAGGATTTGGTCTGGGGAGGGAATTACACTCACTTTTTTTTCCCCTCCCCTCTCGTTTCCGCTCCGTGATAACGTGAGGAAAAAAATATGAGAGCACACTAAATACAGCATCGTCTCATACAAGTGGGTCCGTTACATAAAGGATTTGTTGTACACGGACAGACAACGTGCTCAGCCACGGTGACCTAGTGAGGCTGCAGATACATCCAGCGTGGACGGAGGAGAGGAATGTGGGCAGGAGAGAGAAACCATTGTGCAGCGAGCATGAGGGGAATCAAACAGGTGCTGCAGACTCGTGTTTCGCAGTATTCAGGTCAACACGTTAAACAGCAGATCTCCCGGGAGATCTGCAATGACACATTGACCCTCTTTTTCACGCTTAGTGTAAATTAACATATGATGCACAAAGTCAGCATTAGGAACAAGTGAAGCGGAATAATCACTGTCTTTCTGCCGAGTTTCCAGCGAAGCACACTTGGCACAAAAATGTACTTGTAGATCTGTCAGCGCTCACACACAGCCACGGGCAGAAAACACATCAGGTGATAGAAGGAGGAACGCAATCAGCCGCAATTTAAAAGATTTGAGCTCAACGCATCCTCTGTGGCTTTGCATCAATATGAATGGATGAAAACAAAGAGCATGAGGCCTGCCCCTGAGCCTTCAGCGACACTTTCAGTTCAATTTTCGCCACGAGAAAGAGGAATCTCCAGGGAGGAACTCAAAGCCCATTTCTCCTCTCAGCTCACACTCATTACATTCACACAGCATCTCCTAATATCCCAGCATCCCTCAGTGCCTGCAGGTCAGGACTGCAGGTCATAGGCCACACAGATAGGGAATTAAAAAAAAATAAAATAAAAAAGGTCAGTTACCTGAAGTGTCCCACAGACTGAGCTCCACTCGCTGCTCCTCCAGCTCCAGACAGGCTGTGTAGTTTTCAAACACCGTGGGCACATAGGTCTGCAATTAGCAACATGGTGCCATTAGTGGGGAGGTGTCAGTCAGTCAGTCAGCCACAGGTAATGGAAGTTATCTGGCTGATTAGTGCAAAACATACACTGGGAAGGTCAATCAAACAGAAGGAACAAACATCACATGCTTTCATTAATTCCTCGAAATAATCAATCGATCACTTGGATGACTGCAGCTGCGGGGAATATTCACCGCAGGCCAGTGTGATAGGAGCACAAATGCGCAGAGGAATGCCTACAGTCTATCTGAACATGCAATGAAAAGCGAATGCAGTTAATATTACTGAAGACAAAATAAACCATGAGGGCGATTTTTTTATTTTTTTTTTATAAAGGGGGGAAAATGCGCATGCAAACTGTCTGCATTTTTTTTTTTTTTTTTTTAAAGGGGGGAAAATGCGCATGCAAACTGTCTGCAACAGACGCACCGTTTTCCTCTCTGCCATTTTCAATCATTTTATGAGAACTTGCCAACAAAAGCAACTTCATGTGCACAGCTCATTTTTTTCCCCTCTCTCTCACACACACCAGCAGCTTTACAGCATACCTCTGGGTAACAATCCTTCGCCAGGACTTGCAACATCGCCGTTTTTCCGCATTGAACGTCTCCCACAAGAACCAGTTTACATCTCACCACCAGCGGCTGCGTATTTCTCCTTTCCTTCATGGCGTTAATGAGGATCCAGCGTTTTTTTTTTTTTCAGAGGAAAGAAAAATTACAAAAAAATACAAAGCACAAATCGTCCCGGTGTGATGGAGCGTCCCGGTGCTTTGCTCTCTGAGGATGCCCGCAGTTGATCTGATTGAATTTGCCACTGCGGCTCTTTATAGAGGAGGGCAGCAGCCAATAGGAGCTCAGCGTTCCACAGGCGTCCTCACATCCCTGATACCGCACTCAGTGATGCTCCGACAGCAAACACAAGTTGTTCTGTCGGGGATCAGGAGACAATGGCAGCACAGGCGTGGATTTATGAGGAGATTCTGTTGAAGAAAATTGCGCAAGATTACAATATTCAATCGGTTTACTCAGTTTATGTTACAGTGATGTTGTTATTATTAGTAGTGCGATAAAGGAGGTTCATTTCAGTTCCTTCTCTAGTCATCATTTGTATTTACTGACAAATGCTTTAAAATTAAATGCAGAATTTAAATATGAGGCTTATAAAATGCAGTAACCAGCAGCCAGCCTCCTGTTTTGTCACCTTCTGCTGACTTGATTGATTGAATTGACTCACTGGCTGGATCAATAGCACACCACTGGGTGAGGACAATGGGACTGATAGACCAATCCAGACTAATTAGTTTACTTTCATTTGCATTTCAATCAAATCAATGTTATCTATCCAAATTCTGCTTCTTTGTTTCTTATTTAGGGCCAAAATTATCCTCTTCCTTCTACAAGTGGACTAAAATTCCCAGAATCAGACTTCATGTACCATTTTATTTTTTATTATCAGTCATTTTGCTTCCCTGCATGTACTGTATAAACACATGACAAATAAAAAGTCTTGAATCTGGGAACAGAACAAATTAACTCTTTATTTATCAGCACTCCTTGATTTCTTCCAAAGTCTAATATTTCTTGCTGGTTACTCTCAACGTCTCTCTAACACGTCTACAGACAGAAGATGAGATTTAAAGCGTGTTTATTAAGCGAATGTTTGCTGATCAAAGGTCTGACCTGGTGCTCGGTGTAATGCCGTCATGTTGACAGGTGGTGGGACGGTGTGAGACCCCCCGATAGGTGACCAGCCACAGGGTCAAACAAGAGGTCTGTTCTCTCACTAAACCCCTGGAGAAACACAAGCACTGACTTTCACACCCTGAAGGTTATTACTGTATGGAAACGGCCTCTCATTGTGAGGAAAAAAAGAGGAATTCAAAGATAAAAGTTCATTAACTGCCTTCTCTTTGCGTCTGTCGGCCTTCTGGTTAATTGACTTACTGTTGCCAATCACAACCCCCCTTTTGCAGTTTTTTGGCCCCGTGGGTCAAAGCAATTTGCCTTTGTTCACAAACAGCCCATATCATTCACTGGGAGCCGCCTGTCTTTTACAGCCCAATATATCACGTTGTCATCATACGCCGCTCTGATCGTGGGGGATGTGGAAATGTTTTATAATGCTGTCGGCATTTCATTTTCATTAACGATAACATTTGACCACACTCACGGTATTTGTCTTCTGTGAAGCGAGCATGTTGTGATGTCCATTCCTCACAAAACTACAACGCAGTTTTATGTTTGGTTAAACTGCATGTAAGTTTTAGAGGTGGATGGACACAAATTTGTTTCCAGTGTAGGTTATTGCATTAATGGTAGTCATGAGGACTATATGTAAAGTTATGTCAAAAAAAAAAAAAATAAAATCAAGTAACCAAAAGAGAAAAAGAAATGCTGGGGTAAGACAGGATGTCAGGGGTGTAAATGGGAAGGTAATGTGCTGCTAATTAGAATAAAATAGAAACCATTTATTGCTCCAAAAAGGAAATTCTGTAGCAAGCAAAGAGTAAAATGACCCCACCACAAATACGAATAAATAAAAAGAAAAGAAAAGAAAAACACACTAAGATACTAAATGCACAATGAAGTGCAAAATATGCTCAGATTTTAAAAAGTGAAAAATGCACTATCAAGTGTCGAATGCTAACAATAAGCAGTAAATGAGAAAATAAAAGTCCTCTAAACAGCAGTGCAACATGTGCAAGGACACAAAACAACTGCAAAAACACGTGTTGCACCAAACTCTGCTGCCACTCGAAACACATTCAATCCAGCAAATAAAGCAGGATTCAGTTGTCTTTCATCACACAGTCTCCTGAATCCTTTGTCGGTGTGTAAACTAGATGGTTTTTCCACCTCCGTTTTGTGCTCTGGGTTACAATGACAACCTGAAAACTGTGTCAAATGCTCACGCGGTAATTACAGCGTGTTGAGAAAAGTGGGCGGAATAATTGCAAGATTTTCAATTGCGGCATTAACGCGTTCTAAACGTTTAATCGCTGATCAGTTGCACAAACATCAATTGGCTGATTGGTAGAATAAATAAGATTTGTTGCACAAAGGAAGACAGAAACAGTTGAGAAGGAAAAAGTTGCAGACTATGAACTCTCCATCACCCTTCTAATTTAACTGCAGTTTATACATGGTGTAACCAGCGCCGAGCTCCTCTGATGGCACAGAGAGAGACAGGTGGCTGTGAATAATCATCAGGCATTAAGTGACACCTTCCAATATGGCTGGTAGTGGAGGATGAGGAGGAGGAGGAGGAGGAGGAGGAGGTAGAGGAGGCTGGGGACGAATCAGGCAAGGCTGACTGCTGGCAGGATGCAGCAGTGACACTTTAAACCGTCACACCTCGATATATTTGGTGACAGTGTCGGTAATTAACATCAACACAATGAGAGAGAGTGACACAGCCTCAGGAAAGCAGACAAAAGCTGAGTCAAGATTGTCAGACGGCAAAGAAATGAAGGGCTGGGACACTTCCTTCTTTCTCTGCCACCGAGTCGACAGCAGATGGTGTTGTAACCCAGGATTTCCAGCGTGATTTTCACGAGATATTCTGAACTATCATGTGAAGAAGCAGTTTACACTCTTCTGCCAGAGTGTCAGGGGAAGAGACAGGAGCGATATTAGGCAAGTGGTTGATGAAACGTAGCAGTGAAAACACGGGACAGATGGTGAACGGTGATCAGGTTTGGACAGAGGTGGTGATAATTTAGCTTTTTGTAGGAAACAGAGCACCAGGCTGAATGTGTGTGAGTGGCATATGGGTACATTTCTGAATGATTTGAACAGATTGACGTCGTGTAGTTCAGTGAAAAGCATGTGTGGGCTGATTAAAGAGATCTGGAAGATGTCTCAGTTGCCCAGATCAAGCACATGCTGGGTTATTATAGCATCTCTTACTCCTTTTCATACTAAACACCTCTCATCTGAGATACAACCGTATTGAGTCAACGCAACATCCCGCTTGTTGTTGTTGTTGCTAAACCACCTGAACACAAGGCGATGAGTGCAAGTTTGTTAAATTCAGTACAGCCTTTACTCCTCTGGGAAGGCTTTCTGCAAGATTTACCTCTTACTTCTATGTTTTTGCTCCCATTCAGCAGCCAGAACTCACACCTCCAATCCAAATTTATCCCAAATTTGTTGCGTGAGGCTAAGGCTTGTGTCAAGATGTTTTATGACAAACAGAAACCTCCTTTATGGACCAGACTTGTGATGTTGGAACACGAGATCCACGAGCTGACGCCACAAAGTTGGAAGTATGCCATTATTTAAAGTGATATCCAACGATCCTTAAATTTGTACACTAATCATCGTCTAAGTGATGGAAGCAAATGGTGATTTTTTTTTTTTTTTTTTAACAGTTTGCTTTTAGAGCAACATGTAGGAAAAGATGTATTACTGCAGTTTTTTTTTTTTTTTGCTTGTATTGCTCAGAACTTTTCATTTTGTTTTCTAACTTGAGGAAATTTCATTTGTGACCTGTTACACAAAGGTTGCAGGCGCTCAATTAGAAATGCGTTAAGAGAAACTATCAAATATGTGTTAGATTTGAAATCCATCCATCCATCATCTATACACCGCTTTGTCCTCACTAGGGTCGCGGGGGAGCTGGAGTCTATCCTAGCCGACTTAGGGCGAAG